CAATGTATTTTATCATGTTGTAAGCCGCCCCGAGGTTTCGGCAAGGGGCGGCATACAACATGATAAAATACATTGAAATGCAATAGCACATAATAAATTACCATTAAATATAACAATACAAAAAATACATTGATTTACAAATACAAAATTAAAATTATCAGTATAAAATAAAAATATAGGAGGAGAAAGAGAAGGAAGAAGAAGTTGCCCAGGCCAGATTATGAGGGGATATGTTACCTTACCCCGCAAAAGCCTTGTGCTTTGGATGAGTTTGGATGTCTGATCAAAGCAACCTCCAAAGAAAAGGAGCAACCGGCCTGCTTTTTGCTCCAGCTTTCTCCATGGCTGTCAGGTATGTTTTGGCCTGAATCACAGAAAACGTAACTCTCAACCAAAATAAATAAATAAATAAACATACATAAATGCTCAGCCCTGCCTTAACTATGCTGAAGGGACTGCAGGGTTGTGGAAAAGAGATGAACAGCTTGCATTGTTGTCAGTCGTGTGATGCTCGGCATCCTCTTTCCTAGAACAGGTGAGATCCACCAAGGGACCCTAAAATAGGTGCAGCTCTGTAACTATGCTATCTTAATCCTAATGAAGCAACTAATGAATCTTGAATAGCCAATCAAGGTAGTTCTAAATCCTTCTGTTTAAATTGCTGCACCATGTTGCAGGTTCTTTGTCACCTCGCAAAAAGCTTCAGCTATGGGGCAGTATAGAAATTATGATGCTGAGGACGACAGCAAAATATTCTATTCCTACTACTGGAAAAAAAGGATGTGCTAGAACAACCTTCCCCAACCAGGGGCCCTCCAGATGTTTTGCAATATGATGCCAGATGCTGACTGGGACAGAAGGGAGCTAATGTACTGTTTCCTGGTGGGAACAGAAATTCTCTCTCCTCCTACCTTTTATTGCTTCCAAGATTCAAGACACATAAAGCATCATTTTCTTTCTTTCTTGAGTTCTTCTATCACCCAGTAGCCGAAGCTCTCTGGGCACTTTGCGACAGCTCAGCAAAGCAAGACAATGAAATGGCATTAAATCTTTTTAAAATACAAACTTCTTTAAAGCAAAAACTCAAAACAGTAGCCCTCTAAAAACACCTGGGATGAGCCAATCCCCTCAAGACCTTGGATGTCCAAGTATATTGTTAAAAGCCTCACATAAAAGGCCATCTTGGTGCTGAAAAGATGACAAGGTTGGAGCCAGGTGAGCCTCGCAGGGGAGGTCACTGCACAGGTGAATCCACCACAGAGACAGAGAGAAACCCACTGAGCAGATGTGCTCTGACTGTTAGTCCTATTGGCCATCTGCCTGCAGGGAAGCTTATTTTAACGACTGAATAAAATGGAACATAGAAGAAAGGAAAGTTTCCTACAAACCTTGATTCAAGCAAAATAGAAAGCCATCGTTTTTTCTGGCGAAAGCCC